GGAGGGAGGGAGGTCGGTCGGTCGGTCGGTCTGGTGAGGGAAGGATGTGGGAGGGCAAATGACGGCGAGGAAGGAGACAGGAGATGCTCGTCACACTGGAGGATGAAGGCTCCTTGACGCCATATACACATTTATACATATACATCATGTCATACATATTACGAACGTGTTCCCTTGGTAGTTCCCCTACCGCGCCGACCAGCGAGGCCAACGGCGGCTCCCCGTCCGCGCCGCAGCGGCCCGCTCCCTCCTCTCTCTTCCCCCTGCCCCCCTTTCTCGCACTTCATCTTCGTTTTCACGGATGCGATGTATCAATCTCCCTTCACTCCCTTCCTTCCCTCCCTCCCTCCCTCCCTCCCCGGTCCTCTACCTGTAGCTCATGCCCGCGACGTGGGGGGAGCGCCCGTGGTTCCTCAAGTCTGGTACAAGGATGCGACGTGGCTTCTCGAGGCGCTCGTGCAGGGTATTTGCCCACCCGCGAAAATTGCGCGAAGATCCTAGCAAGCCGTGCAGGACCAGGACGGGGAGATGGTCCTGATGGGATTGGAGGGGGAGGAGGGGGAGGGACGGGTGAACCAGGGGCCAGTCCGCGTCGACCGCAGGCGATGCACCGAGATAAAGAAGTTGGCTTCGAGCAATCAGGCTTGTCTCTGACTGGATTCAAAGTGTTCAATCATAGTAGGGCCGGCTGATCAGGGAAAAAGTGAGAGGACTCGAGCGTCGAAAGTCCTGCGTCAGCGGTTGCGGCCATGGACGTGACAAACGGTGGACCGCCACATCTCTCAAATGCTTTCTCAAGGACGCAAAGGGCACTGATAGTGATCTGTAAGGTGCCGATTGAGGCCGTTCTAGTCCTCTCATGCCACGGGAGTGATACAAGCATGGGGTCTCCTGGAAGCCACTTCGAATGCCCTCTGCCAAGAAAATCCGTAAATAACTGAACATACTCAAAATACCCCTCACCTTTGTGTCTTCTCGTCGATTTAGGTCCAGATAGTGCAGGGATGGGAGGGGGTGTGCGACGGGGGCCGACGGGAGGGTCGCCGGCTTTAGGGCGGGAAGGAGTTGCGAGGGTCCTCCAGATCCTAGCGAGGCCGTTAAATGCGAAGGGAAGACGAAAGCATAGCTGGTATGTCTACAGAGTACGGCAACGAGGAGGAGGAAGACCAGCTTTGGTTGTAGCGGCGATTGGAGAGAGGCCATGGCACCCTCAGGACTCCTGCGCCCGAGCAGTAGCTAGCAGCACTTCTCCTCACAAATGACTGCCCCGTGGGGGGCTTTAGGCAGCAAAACCCGCACGTCTGTCCATGGAAAGCGGTTCGAGGGTGTAAAAAGCGTGAGAAAACAGTTAAGACAACGCCCTTTCTAGTTTTAGGTGCGGGCAGATTGTACAAAAGAGCCTGGAAATGGTTTATGACGGAGACGCCTCGGAGAGGTGACGAAAGCGTTCTTGGAAGGGATCGTCACAAGATAAATAAAACCACACAAAGCTCCGAAATGCTGATTTCCGTGGAGAGTGAAATGACGCACGATTAACAATTTCACTGAAGCACATGGCATCACGGTTGGAAGGTTGTTTTGGTGGCCCTGGCGCGGGGATCCCCTGCCTCCTGATAGCCCGTGTCACGTCACGGGGAGGGTGGATGAGAGGCGGTGCCTGATATACCTCTACAGTCACGACCACGCAGCTTGGATCTCGATATTTTACGCGCTGGAACGATGCCAAGCTTTGAATCGTACATTCAGCGTAAAAGCTTTCATGAATCTTTCCTCGTTTTGGTGACCGGCGGCCATCCCCCTCCGGAAACCGGTGACCCCTCGCCCTTCGCCTCCCGGCAACAGCAACAACAACTCACCCTCTCCTGTCTTCGGTCACCTTTCACCACAGGCATGCGACCACATCCCCTCCTCCTTCCATTCCTTCTTCTTATATCGTCATTCGTTGTCAGCCATGCTTTTTTGCCCCCACCTCTCCTACCCTCGTCTCCGATAACCCCCTCCACTGTGACAGCCCTCTCTCCCGGGAAGCCGAATTTAGGTAAAGTGACCGCTCTCCCCCTTCTTCCTTGATGATTTTGCAATCACCCTGCAACTGAGACCGTGCGCATTTGTCAGTGGGGAAGGAACCCCAAAACTCTAATATTCTCTTCCCGAAGTTGAAATGAGCAATCAATATACCCATGGCGGATCCCCTCCCTCCCTCCCTCTCTCCCTCCCTCTCGACATCCCTCCCTCCCTCCCCCCCTCCCCACATCCGTCCTTATCTCCCTCCCTCCCCCCCTCCCTCCCTCCCTCCAATCACTCCCTTCCCGACATGCTTTGCCCAGGAAAAGGCGGCGCCGTGCTCCAAAAGCCCCAGCTACAAACCGCCACCCGCGTGGGCCCCCCCAAGAACAAGGAGAAGACCGAGGAGCGGTTCGAGACGAAGGAGGAGGAGAGCGAGAAGTTCGCGGTGGTCTTGGTCGGTGACAAAGACTACGACCAGGGGCATGTCGTCAAGGTGAGAGGAAGGGACGAAGGGAGGGGTCTTGCCCCTGTATGACCACCGTCCTCCTCTTGTCTGGCAGCATGTTTGCTTTTCCCCTCCCTTCCTCCCTCCCCCCCTCCTTCCCGCCCTTCCCCATTCTCCTCAACCCCTCCCTCCCCGCCTCCCTCCCTCCCTCTCCTCCAGGTCCTGTGCAAGGTCATCGCGGGCCTGGGTGCGATGAAGGCCGTGGCAGCTTTTCAAGAGGCGCAGAGCAAAGGGAAAGCCATCGTCCTCATCGCGGACGAGGAGAGCGCGGAGACGGTGGCGGAGCTCATCTGTCGCAACAAGCCCCCCGTGATCGCTGACGTGGAGCCGTTGAGGAAGGGGGATTAAGGTGGAGGGAGGGAGGGAGGGAGGGGGATGTGCAGTGGGGGGATGAGGTAGGAGGGAGGAGGGGAGGAAGGAGGCGTGGCGTGGGGACGGGGGAGGGAGGGAGGGAGGGAGGGAGGAGGGAGAAAAGAGGCAAGGAGCATGCTGCCGATGAGGAGGAAGAGAATGGGGTGATTTAAAAGATTTAATCTGGAAAAACGTGCGAGCGATGCCACGCGGATAGTTTGTGGGGCCCCGCCCTGCCTTCTTGCCCCCCCAATAACTCGAATCTTCCTCGCATCCATCCACCCTTCCACCAATAACTCGAATTCTCCTCGCATCCATCCACTCTTCACCGACGACCAGCCCCTCCACCACTCCCACCCCCCCACGACAAAACTTCCTTTTCTAGCTTCTGAGCCTCCCACACCGAGACACAAGGGGCCGGGACAGCGTAAAGGAAGCCCTGGAAGGAGGGAGAAGCCTATCCTCCCACCGGAGCTTTCCGGCCACCTCAACTTCCTGCCCTCCTCATCCCTTCCTCCCTCCCAGCCCAGCACTTCCCCTCCTCCCTTTCCCTCCCTCGCCCTCTCCTCCCCGCTGCCCGGGTCGCGCTCGCCGATTCTCGGTCCACAACCTTCCTGCCCCGTGGCCTGAATCCTCATCCTCCCCGTCAGGTGTAACGGTTCATATCGATCTGTAACGTCGTCCTCCCTCCGGCCTTCCCTCCCCCCCCCTTCCCGCCCTCGCGGCCGCAGCACGCCAGACGTCGCCTC